TAGAACCCCTGACATCCAACATACGGCCTCAGATCAGGGCTCTATTCACACCTTCTTAAAAAAAATTTTAACCAAGGATACAAAAGACTCATATTCAGAAAATTATAAGACACTGCAGAAAGAAAATGAAAAAAATACAAGTAGAAGCATATATCATCTTCATGGATTAGAATCATTAACATTTTAAAAATGTCCATACTACTGAAAGCAATCCATAGATTCAATGAAATCCCTATTAAAATACCAACGGCATATTTCACAGATCAAGAACAAATTCTTCAAAAATTTATATGGAACCAAAATAGACCCCGAATAGCTACAGCAATCTTGAGAAAGAAGAACAAAGTTGGAGGGATCACAATACCAGATAACAAGTTATACTATAAAGCCACTGTACTCAAAACAACCTGGTACTGGCATGAGATCAGACATATAAACCAATGGAACAGAACAGAGAACCCAGAAATTGACCCAAGCCATTTTGCTCAATTAATATTTGACAAAGGAGGCAAGAACTTACAATGGGGTAAAGATGGTCTATTCAAAAAATGGTGTTGGAAACTTTGGACAGATACGTGCTGAAAATGAAACTGGACCATCTTCTTACACCATACATAAGAATAAACTCAAAATAGATTAAAGGCTTTTGTGTTAGTTTTGAAACCATAAAACTTCTAGAAGAAAACATAGGCAGTAAAATCTTAGACATTTCTTATAGCAATATTCTTTCTGATATATTTCCTCAGGCAACAAAAACAAAAGGAAAAATAAACAAACGGAATTGCATCAAACTAAATAGTTTTTGCACAGCAAAGGAAACCATCACCAAAATTAAAAGACAACCCACTGAATGGGAGAACATATTTGTCAATGATATATCTGATAAGGGGTTAATATCCAAAATTTATAAAGAACTGATGCAAGTCAACACCAAAAAAAAAAAACCCCAAACAATTCAATTAAAAAATGGGCAAAGGACCTGAATAGATATTTCTCTAAAGAGGACATATAGATGACCAAGAGACATATGCAAAGATGCTCAATGTCACTAACCAATGTTCTTTTAAATGCAAATTAAAAGAATAATGAGATTATCACCTCACACCAGTCATCAATAAATCAACAAACAACAAGCGTTAGGGAGGATGGGGAGAAAAGGGAACCCTCATGCACTGTTGGAGGGAATGCATACTAGTGCAGCCACTGTGGAAAGCAGTGTGCAATTACTTCAAAAAAATTAAAATGGAACTGCCTTATGACCTAGTGATTCCACTTCTTGGAATATATCCGAAGAAACCCGAAACACTAATTTGAAACAATATATGTACCCCTATATTCATTGAAGCATTATTTACAATAGCCAAGATTTGGAAGCAGCCCAAGTGCTCATTAGTAGATGAGTGGATAAAAAAGCTGTGGTACATTTACACAATGGAATACTATTCGGCTGGAAAAAAGAAGGAAATCTTACCTTTTGCGACAGCATGGATGGACCTGAAGAGTATTATGCTAAGTGAAATAAGCCAGTCAGAGAAAGACAAATACCATGATGTCACTCATATGTGGAATCTAGTGAACAAAATAAACTAACAAACAAAATAGAAGCAGACTCGTAGATACAGAAAACAGACTGACAGATGTCAGAGGGGAGGGTGTTAGGTGCTGGGTGAAAAGGTGAAGGGATTAAGCAAAAATAAATAAATAAACTCATAGGCAGACAACAGTATGATGATTACTGTAGATTACTATAGGGAAATGTGGGTGGTAGGAGGTAAAAGAGGGTAATAAAAGGGATAAATGGTGATGAAAAAAAGACTTGATTTTGGATGGTGAACATATAATACAATATACAGATGATGTATTATAGAATTGTACACCTGAAACCTATATAATTTTATTAAACAATATTAGTCCAATAAATTCAATTTTAAAAAGTTTACAAGATGACAAGGATGATAGTTTGGTTCACAGGAAAAAGTAGGGACTTACTTACATAATATATTATGCTACTACAACTGGTTATCTACCTTTAAGAAAACGGTTTTAACCCAGACTAGAAACCAGAACCTATTTAATAAAAGATTCATATTTGTATATGAAAAATTAAAATATTATGTGGAAAAAATATACCACCAGCAAACCAAATACATACAGATTTGGGAGAGATTATCTATAACAATGGTAGACATAGGTGCAATATCAAAAATATTCAAGGTCTTACAAATTAAGAAAAATACAAACAACCTATAAGAATGGGCAAATAATATGAACAGACAATTCAAAAGGCAAATTTAATTGGGCAAAAAAAGTATGACATAATAATAAAATGCATTAGTAGCCAAGGAAATTCATCCATTAAGTTATCAAAATTATAAAAGAACCATGACACCTCATGCTGGTAGCATTATGAAGAAATGAATAATCTCATATATTACATACAAAAGGTAAAAGTAAATTATAATGGCCTGTTTTTTTAAATCAATATGAACATATAGTTAACAAATATATATAAATTCGTGTGTATGTGTGTGTGTGTGTGTGTGTGTGTGTGTGTGTAGCACCAGTAGTATGTAAGGACATACAGTGGGGCCTTGACTTACGAGTTTAATTCGTTCCGTGACGGAGCTCATAACTCAAATTACTCGTATGTCAAATCAATTTTCACCATTACAATGACACGTGATGCTGGGCTGATGTTGTGGCATTCACTGTGACGTTCGCTGCGCCAACTAGCAGTGGGGTATCAGAAGCTGGCTCATAACCCGAATTTTAGCTCGCAACTCAAAGCAAAAAATCGGCCAAGAGACAGCTCGTATCTCGAAAAACTCATTAGTCGGGACACTCGTAAGTCAAGGCCCCACTGTATGCATAATGATGTTCATTTCAGCATTGATTATAATGGCAGAAATCTAGAAAGAATTAATGTAAATGTTCATTAATAGGAGACTGGCTAAATAAATTGTTGTGCCTCTATAAAATTTTGCGCACCCTTGTTTTAAAAGAATACAAGGTAGCTCAGCTGGCGTGGCTCAGTGGTTGAGCGTCGACCTATGAACCAGGAGGTCACAGTTCGATTCCCGGTCATGGCACATGCCCAGGTTGTGGGCTTGATCCCCAGTGGGAGGCATGGAGGAAGCAGTCAATCAATGATTCTCATCATTGATGTTTCTATCTCTCTCTCCCTCTCCCTTCCTCTTTGAAGTCAATATATATATATATATATATTAAAGAGTAAGAGATATACCAATAGATTTTCCATGAGATAATGTTGAGTAAAAAAGCAAGTTGTATTAAATTATGTATAAAATTCTATTTTTACAAAATAAACAACAAAAACTCATGTTAAGTGTGTGTGTGTAAAGGTGTGTGTGTATATACACATATAAGCATGGAAAAAATATGGAAGAATACATACTTGTTTGGTAATATGCAAGGATGGCATGGAAAGATAGACGGAGGCCCTAGCCAGTTTGGCCCAGTGGATAGAGCATCAGCCTGCGGACTGAAGGGTCCCAGGTTTGATTCCTGGTCAGGGCATATGCCCTAGTTGTGGGCTCGATCCCCAGTGGGGGGCATGTAGGAGGCAGCCGATCAATGCTTCTCTCTCATCATTGAAGTTTCTATCTATCTCTCCTTCTCCCTTCCTCTCTGAAATCAAATATATATATTTATATAACAGAGGAGCCAAACAAAACAAAGAAAAGGGGGGAAAAAAGAACCACTATAAAAACAAATCCAGCAATCATATTTATGTAGTTTATGTATAAAATGTATATATAAAATGAATTGTTTACAAACGTTATAGTAAAAATTCTAAAGAGGATCTCTGCTTATTAAGAAAAGAAAAGAAATAACCAAAATTATCTCTCAATGAAAGAATTAAGGGTGATGTTTATTTTCTTCTTTATGTGTCTCTACATTTTCTATAATGAGATTTATTACTTTCATAAAAATGAAATAAAACTAATACATGTTACTTTGAAAACTTTACACTAAAAATTTGAGCTCATTTTGGGAAATCAAGGGAGGAGACAGGGTTAAATACCCCTTCTTGCTTAGGAGCTGTCCAAGTAGGAAATATATGAAATCAGGATCCATTACCTCTCATCTAGCAGAAAGTTACTCACCAAAGCCAAGAGACTGTCTATTCCAAGAAGCTATTTGAAGCAGCAAATAGGGTATATTTCCCCCTACATAACACTTTAATGACTTAAGTAAATCAGAAAGCCATTTACACCACTCTCAATTATCCAAGGATCTTCGGGGCTCTTTATTTCCTGTCCCTTCCCTCTGGCTTGTGGCCATTTCAGTGTTCAGGAACAGCTCCAAAATGGGGGCCAGGGCAGCAGAAAAGAGATGAAATTAATTTTTTCAACTTAGCTTCTCATTAGCAACTCTAATAAAAGGCTTGGTAAATGAGATGGCCACAACTCACAGTTACAATGAGGCTTCCAGGACTCTTGAGAATTTTGCTAAAGCAAACTTGCCTTCAGATAAACAGGATTTGCCTGAAATACACCTTAATGGATTTAATGTTCGCTATTTTTAAGAAAGCTAGAACTTGTAATAAGTAATATTTTTCTCTCCTCACTTTAATTTTAAGGGAATAAAAACACAAGAACAAAAGCCTTCAAAGTGAAGACATATCCTCAGTGGAGCAGCAGGACCACAATGAAAAGATTCTTGAAATGAGGGAAGATGTCTGCACACCAACTCACTCTCGAGAGAAAGTTTAGGAAGGTGGCTAACTTCCAAGGGAGCATGCCTTGGCCATAAACCACCACTACAAGAAATAGCTGAAAAGGCTTTGTCCGCACTTGACAAAATGTCCACATACAACATTTGCCTGTTACACAGACTTTTGTCCCTTGGGATGCCCAGAGACAAAGGAGTGCAGGTCCAAGGTGTTCACAGCAATGAGTTCATCATCCTAGGTTATCAAACAGACAAAACAGTCTGAATAGCAGTGGCAACAGAGCAAAAAAACAATTTTCCCTTACTTGAAGACCACGGTAGCTCCCGGACATGGAGGACAGGCCAGGAGAAAAATCTGCAATGGAAGAAGAATTAGGTATGATTATTAAAAAAGAAGTATGATTAATAAAAGAAATGCTAGATGCAGTGAGACAATCTACTTTAATAATAATAATAAATAACCAACTCTAACACAGAAAGTGTAATATAAAAATTTAAAAAGCAGATGGTTTTCCAAATATGTTTGTGTTTGCACATGCATCTACATGTGTGTATGTCATAGAGATGAGAGAGAGAGAGAGAGAGAAAGAGAGAGAGAGAGAATGTGATGGGAGGGGAAGGGACAGAGATGGAGAGTGAGAGAGTAAGAATTTGGGGGTAGGAGATAGAGAAATTTTAGGTCCTTTTAGCCTCTGGAACACTTCCTCTTAACCTCTATACCACACTTTGATTTTGAAAGGGAGCAGAATTTGCCTCCCCGAAATCTCTCTCTTTGGCATAAGGATTATTCTAGGCTGGTTTTTTTTGTTTGTTTGTTTGGTGTTTTTTTGTGTGTGTGTGTTTTTTTTAAGAAACACTAGACACAGGAAGAGCTCTGAAAACTGAGTAGAAGTTGCCCTTTATGTAAGATACATTTACTTTTATTAGGGAAATATCCATTTGTAAGCATGTCCCCCTCTGAGGACCATGTAGAGAAGGATGGTCTAGAAGCTCTTCCATGTAGAAGGTGAGGACTTAAATCTGCATAACAGCCTTATTCAATTTACTGTGCTTTTCCTGATCATCTCCCATAACCTCACTCCCTACCCCCCAACATCTTCTTTCATCTTTAGCTAGAGATGGTATTTAAGGTGATGGCTTAGAAACTTAGACTGTTTCAGGGAGTTACTCAGTTTTCCTGGGTCTCTCTCCCAAAGGTATATATTTTATTCAACATCTATTTGTTCTTCTCTTGTTAATGTGTCTTTTATAACAAGGGCATCTCAGCCAAAAACCTGGAAGGGTAGAAGAAAAATTATTTTTCCTCCCCCACATTGGGTTGGTTTGTTTCTAAGCACAACTAAGTGATTCTATTCTCCATCCAGGTCAAACCAGACAAAAAGGACCTTGTCCTATGAGACAAATCAGTCCCATGCTATATTACTTGACCTGGGCCTGGATTACAAGCTTCAAAGTGGTGGCAGTTTGACCTTCACCCAACCACTGGTTCTCCAGAGGGACAAAGAAACCCTGCATATTGCTTATTAAACATGTGAATTGCTGGGCTCATCCATTAAGAATGTTGTTTCCAGAAGTCTGGGACTTCAGGAATCTGCACATTTAATAAAAACCCCAGGATAATCAACCATTCCTGGGAGCCAGATATGCTGAATATTTGACCTTGGCCTAAAGTCAGAGACAATCAGCAGGACTCAGGACTAATAAAAAAATGAAACCCATATTTGTGTTCTTTCACCTGCAGTGATTTAATGGTGCCATTTACAAAATCATCAATATGTGTCCCTATCTTATGAGCATTTATTAATACAGATTATCTACATTATAAATTTGTTTGGCTTTGTCATAAGCATATTCTTTAGCATTTGGTTCTTCAGTTCTCTCAGAGCTTACATTTAGAAGTAAAGGGTACTATAAGGAAAAACACTATAAGAAAGACACCCACTTGAATCCTTCTCAAGAGAAAGAGAAAGAAGAATAGAAAAGAGAAGGGATCTTGAGAGGAACACAGGCAGGAGCCCATTACTTGCACAATACCTCATCAGAGAACTCCTCCAAGGAAATAGCCATCAAGAACATGCCTTTCCCCCATGGGTCAATTTGATTAAAAGTACAAAACCAATGACAATTACAGGTCCACAATCCTTTATCAGCAATCAACAAATATAAAAAGCTCTCAAAGTTCGTTTTTTCAAGGCTAATTTGGTAGTAAAACATGATTTGAACTGAGCTAAAGCAATTAACAAACTATTTATTACACTTATGGTGAATATTAATATATTTTCCACAAAATAATGTATTTTGATTATGGGGTGCTGCCCCAGACCCCAATGGCAGTGTATGTAAAATACTCTACATGCACTGTATTGCCTTTTTAAAATTCAAAAATTTTGATTTCTGAAATACATATGACCTTAATGGTTTGTGATAAGGACTGATGACTTGGAATTTCAATCACCCAAACATGAACTTATCCCAACTCTCCACCCCAACCCTCTGGAGCAGTCCAAGAAAGAAAGAAACAAAGCTGGTATTCTTTATTACTGACCCAGCAGTAAAGTTACTCACCTTAGGCAAGGGACCAAGTTGGAGGCTGCACATAGTTACCCAGTACCTGGCTCACCACAGGCAAAACTCAGAAACTACAGTATACAGAGAGCAGAGAGAGGCCCCCAACCACCTTGGAAAGGTCCTCAGTACCTCCAGAGTCTCCTATGAGCCATACCAATACCCTTCCTGAGTTTCTGAAATGCCCATGATACTTCCAATATGCTAAACAAAGAAGCAAAAGTATACCACTGAGCCCCACAGTTAACTCTTAATTTTCTACACCCACAGCCAAGAAAAGAGGAACAGATTCTTGGGGGGGCAGATTTCCCTATAATTGCTCCATTTGGCTGGTTCTCATCCATGACAGCGCTACACCAGAAGCCCAAAAACCTACTGAAGGGAGCAAGCCTCCAGTTCTAACACAGTAGGGTGTCATATTACCCTCAATTCAATCATGGATCTAACTTCTTTTGAGGCAGCTAATCTATTCTTGACTCTGAGTTTTCCAACAGTTACTTTCATGTGGCCATGTCATTCTAATAGAGTAGGCAATTAGGCATGAGCAGAGCAGGAACGATAGGCCAGGTATGGAATGCCAACAGGGCAGAAAGTCCCGGGTACCCAGCAATGGGCAAAACTGAGAAAACAACTATTATACACTAGGACCTAGCCCACAGGGTAACCTTTCCTCCCCTAATATGTCATTAGACATGCAGTTTAGATCCCCCTGACCTTTCATATTGCTAGTTATGTGGTTTAGACCGCCTGAGAGGAGGAACAAGGGGGCCAGAGAATAGCCTCAGGACTGTTGACCACAGAGACAAAGTTTTGGTCAAACTAGAAATGTCATTTAAGCCTCAGTTGCATTTCAGCTCCAGGCCCAGAAAAGCAGCAAAACCAGATGAAGCAATGCTATAAACCTGAAAGAACATGCCTTTCCCCAACCCCTTCTATCCTCAGTTGCTCTCTCTGGAGCATGCCTGCATCTTTCCCCTTCAGGCATGTTATCTTTGCTTTCTTTCTCCTAAGCTCCTAGGGCCCTTCTTTTGCCTCTGTTGTTTTTCCTGTACACTGGCCCAGCTGGATCACTTCTTCCACCTCTGTGACTTTCTAAATAAACTTCTTGCATTAGAGTTCTTCGCTCTGAATTCTTTCTTAGCCAAACTCAAGAACCAGTTTTAACTCCACATTCACTATTAACAATTCCAATCAGCACTTTGGTCTTTCTCATTTTGCCTGTCTATTCCCCAAAGCAGGACAGAGGGTATCTTTTTCAAGAAATCTTGAAATCAGATGCATGTAGACATATCAAATCAGCAAACTTGAAAAAGAATCCCAAATGCATCATATTCCTTTTCCAGTAAACTCATGACAAGGAAAGATTCTGAGATGGCCTAAAATTAAATTATAGCAGACCAAAAAGTAGAAGGAGGAGACAAGAGAGGTTAATCAGTTAACAGAACCAACAAAAAACAGCTCTCATTACTGAATGTATGTTAAAACTTTGAAACAACTTCCAGGTAACTATTTTCTGTTATTATCTAGAGAGAATAGCTGAATAGCTGACTACTGATGCCACCACATCTTGATTACACGTGAACTTTCCAGACTGTTGTCCACTACCAATCCAAAAGCAGCAAATACGTCTTCCTTACAGACTATGCACCTATCCCAGAACTTTCTCCACTTCACCTATTCCCAATCCCTTTAACTATAGCCTCCTGCATGCTCCCTACTGGGGATCCAGCCCACACTCCAGGCATGTACCCTGACTGAGAATGGAACCGTGACCTCCTGGATCATAGGTCGAGGCTCAACTACTGAGCAACACTGGCCAGGCAACAATGTAAATTCTTTTAAAACAACTTACATCTTTCCCCTCCAAACTCATTGTATAAAAGAGTCCCCATGCCCTAGCCAATTTGGCTCAGTGGATAGAGCGTGGGCCTGCAGACTGAAGGGTCCCTGGTTTGATTCCAGTCAAGGGCACAAGTCCTGGTTTCGGGGCTCAATCCCCAGTAGGGGGCATGCAAGAGGCAGCCAATCAATGATTCTCTCTCATCATTGATGTTTCTATCTCTCTTTCCCTCTTCCTTCCTCTCTAAAATCAATAAAAATATATTTAAAAAGAGTCCCCACATGAAATAAGCCAGTCAATGAAGGAAAAATACCACATGATCTCACTCATTCATGGATAATAAAGACCATTACAAACTTTTGAACAATAATAGATACAGAGGCAGAGCTGCCTCAAACTGATTGTCAAACTGCAGTGGGAAGGCCAGAGAGGGTTGGGGGGCAGAAGGGAGGGGAGTAAGAGATCAACCGAAGGACTTGTATGCATGCATATAAGCATAACTAATGGACATAAGACACTGGGGGGTAAGGGAGGGAAAAGAATAAATAAATAAATAAATAAATAAAATAAAATAAAAAACAAACAAACAAACAAAAAAAAGAGTCCCCACAACCCTAGATGGTGGGCATGTATGTCTCCGCCATCAAGGACCTGGTCCTTTCTTTGCGTAGCATATGGCTCAATAAACCATTTCTTTCAGAAAAACTTTCGGCCTTGAAAGTTTTTGTTTAACAGTGGCCTCCTTTAGCAACTTCAAAGATTTATAACATTGAACTTCTCTGCTCTGTCATGCTGGAGTCACATCCATACTCAAGATTAACCAAAGGAGCCATGCAAAAATAGCATTTTACGTCAGAGGCCCAAAGACCCCCAGCCTTTGCCTAAATATCCCTGCTTTCTTCCTTAGTTAGCTACCAACCACCTCCAAATTTTGGTGTATGTGTTTTAGA